GATGAGTCGACCCGGGTCAGTGAGGGGCGTCTTCAGAATGACAGCGGAGTTCGGCAGCAGTTCCAGAGGGCACTCAGTCCAGGTTTGAGCAGGAGGTAGGAGAGAGCTGTGGAAAGGGATGTCTCAGAAAACAAGAGGCCTCCATGCTATGAATGGTAGGATTAAGAAGCTGAGTGCCTACAGTGTCATGGTGAACCCCTTTATTCTTTAGCATCTCCCCCTCAGGCAGCATAGGAAGACTCAAAACTGAAAGAGAAACACGGTGCAGACAAGATGCAAATTAAGAGTCAGTTTCAGAGTTTAAGAAAAGACAATATTTTCTCTTGCTGTTGGGAATAGTATCTTAGAAGTGGCTGCGTATCCTGACACTGCTACAAGAGAGGAAATGTTACCCTTGCGTGCTGTGTGAATCTGCCCTGAGTGATATTTACATAATGAAGGGTTATTGAACAGAATGTGAAATGTTGAAATGTTCATGATGTTGAGAGTGAAGGTGTAACTAGCAAAGAAGGAAAGGGGAGAAAAAGATGAGGGGAAAGTGGTGCAGTTATTATTCCGCATGAGAAAGAGAGGAAGCTGAGACCTGACCTGGGTTCTTTAAGACCTAGAGGTATTGTTGGCCCTCTGTATCCACGGTTCCACATGCTGTGGATTCGACCAACTGTGGGTCAAAAATAATAAGAGGAGGCTGTTTGTGACACATGGTTTAAGCCACTATGTCTGCAGCCCACATCAGAATGCCTGGCGTTGAGTCCTGCCTCTGCTTCTCATTCCACTTCCTGCTAACGGGTGCCCTGGAAGGCAGCAGATGATGGCGCAAGCACCTGGGTCTGTGCCACCCATGTGGGAGACCAGGAAGGTGTTCTGGGCTCCTGGCTTTGCCCTAGCCTAGCCCTGAGGCTGAAGATATTCTCTCTCATTCTCTTTCTTTCATATTCTCATTTTCTCCTCCTCTCCCTCTCTCCCCCCTCCCCTTAACCCTTCTTTCCCTCTCTCTTATCTCTCTCTCTCTCATATATATATATATATATATATATATATATATATATATATATATCTGTCTCTCTCTCTCTCTTATCCTCTCATCCTCTCTCTCCCTTTCAAATAAAGAAATACACTAAAAAATAATTGCAACTGGATTCAGTGCTCTGGCCTACAAGCTTAAGCCGCCACCTGCGGTACCGGCATCCTATATGGGCACCAGTTCGCAACCCAGCTGCTCCACTTCCAATCCAGCTCCCTGCTAGTGGCCTGGGAAATGTGGCAGAAGATGGCCCAAGTTTTTGGGTCCCTGCCATCCATGTGGAAGACCCAGAAGAAGCTCCTGGCCCAACCTCAGCGGTTGAGGCCATTTGAGTAGTAAACCCCTCTTCCAGGCCAGCTCTCTGCTGTGGCCCGGGAGTGCAGTGGAGGATGGCCCAAGTGCTTGGGCCCTGCACCCCATGGGAGACCAGGAGAAGCGCCTGGCTCCTGCCATCGGATCCAGCGTGGTGTGCCGGCCGCAGCACGCTGGCCGCAGCGGCCATTGGAGGGTGAACCAACGGCAAAGGAAGACCTTTCTCTCTGTCTCTCTCTCTCACTGTCCACTCTGCCTGTCAAAAAAATAAAATAAAAAAGAAATTGAGAGAGAATTTGGAGGTAAACAGAAAACAAAAACAGGAGCTTCCTTCTGAGAGGGGGCTGTGACTCTACTCTTCTCATCCATTTCTCTGCTGTTTCTTACCAGGCTCCTTCTCCACCCCGTGCTTCAGTGTTGGTGTTTTCCAGAAATCAGCCTGTGGCGTCTGTCTTGCACAGCGCGTGCACACTCTGAACCGGCTCACGTAACTGGTTTCATAAATGGCTTCAGTAGCCACCATGTGCTTCTGAGTCCCAAACCTCTCCTCTTACCTTGTTGTCTTGAAGCAGGATCTGGATTTTCACAGCTCTCCTTCTGCATGTCCTAGTAGCACTTAGAATTGAACATGTCCAAAACGGAAAGCTTCATCTCACTTATTAAATCTATGTCTGCATCCCTTTGTTCTTGATTAATTTCATTAAAATAATTACATACCAAGAAATTCACCTATTTAAACTTTAATTCAGTGACTGTTAGTAACTAAGCAGGTGCGCAGCCTTTTCCACTGTCTAATTTTGGAATACCTTAGAAAGAGCCCTCGTGCTCATTTGCAGCCATTTTCCATTTCCAGCCCCAGTCCTAGGCAACTGTTAATCTACTCTCTACTTTTGTAGATCAGCATTTTCTGTATGTTTCAAATGAATAGAATCATATGTGGTCTTTGTGAGTAGTCTTTTAGTAGATTTTTAAAGTTCATCTCTGCTATAGTAAACACTAATGCTTCATTTTTTAAAAAAGAATTACGTACTTTATTTGAAAGTCAGAGTTACACAGAGAGAGGAGGAGAGGCAGGGAGGGAGGG